AATATTTGCTGATGTTGCTCCCAGCCCCTGGGCTCCCATCTGATACTCATGGTCACAAATTGATATAGTGTCATCTTTCCATCTCATTTTATAGCCCTCTGAATATAATTTGTTCAAATTTTGACTGTGTGACTATAAATCTTTCATTCTCCTGTCATCTAGTGTACCTTTACCCATTTTAGGCACCTATTATTGGCCCTGTTTTATTGGTCCTAGTGGATACTTGTTCTGTTTTGGTTTTTGTTATTGTTTGGGTGTGTGGTGGTCTCCAAAACTTCATATGTGAGACAACACAAGAACATTCAGAGGTGAATGGTTAGATTACGACAGTAGTAACTTAATCAGTGGATTAATCCATTCATGTGGATTAGCTAGGTATTAACTGTAGGCAACTAATGGCTGGAGGAGGTGGATCACTGGGGTTTTGTCCTTGGTGAATGAACGCTCTCTCCTTCCTGTTTGCCAGGCCCAGAGCTGTTTTCGCCCACCCAGCCCTCCTACCACAATGTTCTGCCTCACCTTAGGGACAGAGCTGTGGAGCCAGCCATCTATGGACCGAGACCTCCAAAACCATAACCAAATTAAACCTTTCCTCCTCTACATTGTTCTTGTCAGGTCTTTTGGTCACAGCAACACGAAGCTGACTAAAGCAGTTTAGTTCCTTGCTCTTTCTCTTTTCTTCTTCCCAGTGTTTGATACCATCAGATTTTCTGGTCAGAGGGACAGAGAGAGAGAAGCCAGTCAGGAAGCCAATCTGGAAAATGGCTGACTTAAGCGTCCTTGTAGACTTGAAGAAAAATAAAGAGGGAGGCTCATGCTTCATACAGGAAACAGAGATAAGGACAGATCCTGGGAGGGAGGTTCCAGAAGCCACAACTCGAGAGCAGTGGCAGGAGTTGCAACAAGAGATATGAGATCCAAGCGAATTTCCTTGGTATCCTGCTCCAGAGCTCCAAAGGAAATGGGAAAGTTGAGAGGGACAGAGGAAAGGCAGGAACCTGGACCATGCAGTTGATTTCTGGGATTTGGCACCACTGCTTTTCAGCATAGTGTAAGAAAGCAGTGTGGTAATAGGGTTTAGCATCTAATGGGGCCTGAGGAGTCCTTTCTCCCAACAACTTTATTATGCAAACGATGAAATGAGGCCAAGACAGGTCAAACTAGGGCCCTTGAATCAGCTCTGGGTGGAACTATGGAATGACAGCTGTATACTTTTCATCCATATTTACTCAGTGGCACGAGAGAAGAGACTGCCAGGCAAGAGGCTAGGGTTTATTCTCATTGCAGTCAGAAGCCATGGATGGGAAGTGATCTGATTCACATTAAGAAGGTTGACTCCAGCGGTGTGAAGAATGAATAGGGAAGGGGTGGAAAGAGAGCAGTTAGGAGGCTGTTTCAGGGGTCTGGGTATGAAGCAATTCTATCTGGAAGATGCAGGTGTATTTTGAAGTTCATCTATCTAGAAAACTTGGTGGATGCTGTGGGAAGTGAAAATCAGAAGGAATCAAAGGTTCATGACTTGCGCAACTGGGTAGATATAGGGACAGTTTCTCAAGAAATGGGAAGGAGGGAAAGTGTGATTGAAGGTTAGGAGGGTTGTGGGAAGGAACAATGAGGAGAAAGTTTGAGGTTGAAAATAAAGATTTGCTCTCATTTGCCCTAATATCAAATGCTAAAACTGCCTGTCCATCCCTGGAGCATGGTTCATTTTTCTGCATTCTGCTGCAAACCACAGGGCAATTCTTTGCCACCAGGATACTTAATTCATAAAGGATTCAGTGTTAGCTTTCTGTTGCTGTGACAAAATACCTGAGATAATCAGATAATCAACGTATAAAGAGGAAAGATTTATTTTATACTTTCAGAGGTTTCTCGTCATGGTTACTTGGCTCTGGAGAGAGGGGGTGGAGGGGAGAAAGAAGAAGGAGAAAGAGAAGGAGAATAGGGAGAGAAGGAGGAGGATAAAAAGAGAGAGAAAGGAGCTGTGATCCCAATATTTATCTCCTTCAAAGGCATGCTTCCAATGGCCTAACTTCCTCCTACCAGGCCCCACCTCCTATAGGTTCCATCATTCCCAACAGTGCCATGGAGTGGGGACCAAGTCCTTAACATTTGGAGGACATTTAAGATGCAAATTATAGTAGACACTATGATAAAGTCTTACCAGTTGTCTAGTTTAGGAAGGTCAAGCTAATAAGATAAAATACAAAATGTTTTTCTCTTCTACTTGTCTTTACCCACATAAAAATGGAATTAGAAATTCTTAGCATCCTTGTAACCCAGTTTAGGAGAGCCTTAAGTCGCATCTACTGGAAGAGAAAGGTGAAGGGACATTTTTCTAAATGTGCTGAAAGAGGCCTGAGGAGGAAGGGCATCCCTGACCAGCGTGCTGTTGCCATAATTACTCATTCCACAAATATTTTATGAGGCACTTCTGCATGCTGGGCCCCATTCCAGGCACTGGGAGTATAGCAGGGAGGAAAACAGTCCTTGCCCTTATGGAAGCAACATTCCAGAACAGTGGATATGTCAAAAAATGTCCCCAAATGGATTAGTTCATTGTCCGTAACAGCAGCAGGAAGTCTAACCCTGTTTCAGTCACAGGCGCTGCTTGCTGTCCCCAGGACCACAGGTGTTCTCAGCCCTGCACCTGCTGTGCTGTTTCCTTTACCTGCCTGCCTTCTGTGTCCCTCTTAGGGAGAGCAGTCTCACCTACTCAGGGCTGATTTTTAGTGCCACAGGCAGGTGCTGGCTTGTGTCTGGTTGATGCCCTTGCTTGCACTACTGCCCCTGGGCCCTGCCTTCCAAGTGTGGCTCAGTCCCTCTTGAGGCATTACACTTTCAGCCCTTGCTGGTGTCACTGACCTTTGAACTTGTGCTGGTCATGGGTTTATAGCACCTACTTCCCAGCACTCAGAGACTTTCTTACGACATCTGGAGTATAGTTGTATCTTGATTTTAAAGCTTGACCATGATTTTGCTTTTTCTTCCAAAATAGATGGAAAGCCCTTTCAACTCAGGTACCAGATATGCATTTATTTATGGATCAATGCATCAGGAGGGGCTCAGAATCTCATAACTGTCTGCGTGGTCTTAAAGTGGAGAGGGACCCTGGGTCCTGACAGTCTGGGTCACTGTGCTCATCTATCTCTAAGCAATTCTACCCTTTGCATCCTTCTTCCATCCCCATCTCTTGTCTCGGAGTTTCGCCCATCACCTTGGGTTTGTGAGGGCATTACTATGACAGCACCCCTTAGGATGCTGGACTAGTTTTCTGCATTAGAAGGACAGTGGGATGTCTTGCTGCCAGACAGTTTAATACAGGATGACACTCCTGGCACACCGAATTAAGGTAAAGGAGCCAACAGCCCCAGAGAAGAGTCCATTTCTATGGAGATTAATATGAGACAATGACAGAGCACATTTTTAATTTATTTTTTCTTGTATTTAAATGTAAGAAGACACTAATTAAGCCAAACCAGGAGATGACTTCTGATGGTTAATTGCTGAGGGAGGTGCTGTATTTTAATTTATCCAGGTTTATTTGCCGAACCAGACAGACAAGGTATATGTTCTGTGCCCTTGCCCATGGTATGATGCTGATGATTTGAGAATTAATCTTTTTGGATGTCCTAGATTTGTTATTTTAAAACTATAACTACAGTAATTTCCCTTCTTTGGGGAAGAAACTGCAGCAAAGTGTTGTAGTCCTTTAACTATAACTAAGAGTTAGACTTTCCTAGGTCAAAACTGGCTTCTGTGTGTACTCAAATAATACCCAAATTATTGAACAGGTCTTGCATACTCCCCCCATAATTTGTTGGTTGAATCAGACAACTGAATCTTCTACTGACAGGTTGATAACAATAAGCTTCATGGGACTTTTTAAAGCATTTAGTATCCCTGTTCGTAATTATAAAGCCATGTGAGTATATAGTAGTATATATCAGTGTAATGACTCCCTGGCTATAGAGACCACATTTGATGTGTTTTGGATGAAACTGTGAAGGTAATGCCAATCTAAACTGTAGGAGCAAGGGCTCAGCTCTGTGAACTCATTACTCTGCACTGTTTTTGAGCACCTCCAGAATCCCAACACTGAGCTGGGGTGCAAGGCAGAAGCTCACTCCTCTGGACATTTGAATCTTTGGGAAACTTAAAAAAATGCACCTGCCTAGGCTTCACTCTAGACTTTGATACTTTATTAAAACCTTTTCAGTTGATTTTGATGGTCATCAAGGGTTGAAGACTATTGGTATAAAGTCTAATTTTGTTTCTAAGGCAATTAAAATCTCTTTGGGAATATTGGTCTTTCGTATATAGCAGTCACTTTGTCTTTTTATCTTCTTACACAAGTGCATATAAATTTTAAGGGAGGTGCATGGACAACACAGCTGGAAGCCCAGGTGACTGACATAACCCTCTGCTCAAAGGCAGAAACGCATAAGGTGTGTGCCAGGTATTAATTGGATTTAAGTTGGAAAATAATGAAACATCTGAGGCAGTCTACCTTTATAAAGAAAAGAGACTTATTTAGCTTACAATTTTGGAGGGTAAATGGGTGCTAGCTTTGGCCCAGCTCAGGTGAGGGCCCTCTTGGTTGAATCACATCCTGGTGGAAGTGCACATGTGAAAGCAAGAGATCACATCCTAGAAACAGGAAGCCACAGAAGAGGAGTGCCAGGATCCCTTCCGATGGCACGCCTCCAGTAGAACTAAGGACCTCTCACCAGGCTGCACGGTGGGAGGTCATCCCCAGAGGAAGGACCCAGCTTTCAGCACTTGAGCCTTAGCGGGACACAAAACAGGCTACTCGGAACCAGTAAGGTGCAGAGCCCTACCTGATGGTGGCATTAATGTTATTGCCATTGAAGGTTTTAGAGCAGAAGAATGAAGTGTAAAAGGTGTTCATTGTTCATCCTCTTTATTTGTGAGTGAAAAGACATAGCTAAAAATAAACATTCCTCATCACTGAATGACTTAATGTAACTGTGTTTAAGGACTTGGAGATCATCCTTCAGAAGGACCGCCCTCACTGTGATGGATTCTGCAGAGACTGAGCCCGAAAAAGAGAAAGGTGAGTATTGATGCTTACCTAATTACTTGGTGCATGGCGCACGGCACTCCAATTGTCTTAAAGAATCTTGTCTTTAATTAATAGCTCGCTTTGTTCTGTACTTGCACACCTTACATTATTTTTATTTAAATATCACTGACTTCTGAGAGATTTGTAGCAACTTTTAGTTTAGTATGTTGTCCAGTGTGTTATTCGCCAATGTGCACTGATTGAAATGTGGCCAGTGAAACTAAGAAAATTAATATTTAATTTAATATCTTGAAAATGGATAACTCAGTTATTGGGAAACTTTTAAGTGTGTTTGAAGCCTATCTTGAGTATATAAATCTGCTTTTTCAAGTGAATATTTTATAAAATCAAAATATAGATGAAATATTTCTGATAAAAATTTAGCATCTGAATTGATATGTTGTATGTGAAAAACACAGGATTTCGAAATAGAACCAAAAAACAATGTAAAATATATCATTAATTTTGAATATTGATTAATGTTGAGAGCATATTTGTACATATTTTATTAAAATATAATATTTTATATTTTTTTGGAATATTGAATATTGATTAATGTTGGCAATATGTTAGGGCATATTTTATTAAAATATATTTTATTAAAATATATTTTATTAAAATATAATAATAGCTATGTTATTAAAATTAATTTGAATTTTTACTTATTTTTTCACTAATTTTTAGTATTTTAGAAAATTTTAAATCACATACAAATTACATATGCAGCTTACATTATTATTTTTTCTATCTTCTTTGGGGTATCACGAATGAATAAAATTTGTAGACGTTTAAGGTGTTCAGCATGATGACATGATGTTTAGCTATATGTACCCATTGTGAAATTATTACCACAGTCAAGCTAATTAACATATCTGTTGCCTCACGTAGTGGCGTGTGTGTGTGTGTGTGTGTGTGTGTGTGTGTGTGTGTAAAATACTTTGGTTTACTCTCATCAAATTTCAAATATAGAATCCATTATGAACATTATATTCCTTTTAGAATTGATCTTGATTCGGCAAACAATCCTAAATTTAGGGCTAGGTAGCATGCCTGAGAAACCTATAATGGTGGGCATAAAGCTGAGAGTATTACTCTTCTGTTATGGCCTCCATTAGTATATGGTACCGCCACCTGGCATCTGTCCAGTGCTAACAATGTAGTGCTGTGAGGATCACTTCTCCTATTTCTCCATTTGGAGAATACAGCAAAATTTTCAAGCTACAAAGGGTGGGAAGGGAAGAAGATCCAGGAAGCAGAGGAGGAATGTTCTCAGTTTCATTTTGCCTTCAGGTCATGCCCACAATTACTTAAATCATATTGGAAGTCACAATGCTATGAGCTTGGAATTCCCCTACATTTTCTTAGCAGCCTGTCCCCAGTCTGAGAAATAACAGAGATTTTACTTATTTATTTTTTGAGGGGGGAGGGATGTAAAATCTCTCTAGGTAGGAAGGGAACCTATTGATCATTTTTGTTGACCAGAAGGTAAGATACATTGCTAAAGATGACCAGGGAAATAGGAGGGACAGTAAGGAAAAATGCATCTCAGATGCCCTCAATGTGGAACTGAAGAGTTGGATCTTGACGCAGAATGTATTGTGAGAAAAAAATGGTTCAATATGTGATTTAGGACATTACTATATGCCCCTTGAAATTTGAGTTTCACTTGTTTAACTTTTTTTGATAAGAAATAATTCATGTCTTGCTTTTCTTTTTTTGAACTCAGGGGCACTTGTCCACTGAGCCACACCCGCATCCTATTTTGTATGTTATTTAGAGACAGGGTCTCACTGAGTTGCTTAGCACCTCACTTTTGCTGAGGCAGGCTTTGAACTTGTGAACCTCCTGTCTCAGCCTCCTGAGCCGTTGGCCTAGCCTCATATCTTCTTTTACATGTGAAAAGAATTGTATATAAATTATTTGATTTGAAGTTTTAATTCAAAGAGCTTCTATTCACTTTCCAGCTTCTACAACTCTTTACCCTAGAAATATGGCTAGTGATCTTAGTTTCAGCTTCTCTCCTGTCTGGCTTCTCCCCGCTTCAGCTTCTCCCCTCTCCATAGCTCCTCCTGCCCCTACACCAGGATAATTCTGACCTCTTCTACCCTCTGAACCGGCTAAAAACACAGGTTCTTTTTGAAGATGTCTTTGAAAAGAGATCTTTGTATTTATGCACTTATACCCAAAGTTTTGTTGATTTGTTTTTTACCTGTTGGGTGTATGTTATTTTTAGCCAAGAAATTCTTTTCTGCAAAATACAAGTTTGGAAGAGCTCACATATGTAAAACAGAGACGTCTGAGCTGCTCTGATTGAAAGAAGGAAGAGCCCCCAAGGCACATGAAATTAATGAAGCACAAACTTAAAACCACAGCCTTATCCTGGATTTGATTCACTGTGTTACTTCTCTTGGGATATTTCTGATTTACCTTATCTCTAATAATGCAACGTAAAGTGTTATCTCTTTAAAGAGAAATTTCTACATTAGTGAGCTGGCTGGCAGTGATTTACACTGTCCTCTATTATACCATGTTTCTTGCTGAAGTTCATTTCTTAACAATTTTTTTTTTGGCACTAGACTGTTAAGCACCTTGAGGGTAAAAATAGCTAGCTATCTTTATCTTACATATTTTGGGTCATTTAGCACTAAGAAGTACTTAACCCTAAGTAGGTGCTTAATGAATATACCTTGAACCCAGCTCCCATTGTACCTGAGGGGAAGCTTTTCTAACACCTGTGAAATCAGTCAGGCATTTATTCTGAAAACACACACTTTGGTGACCTTATCCATGTGGCCATACACCTTTGGTTAGGGTTATCTTCTTAGCAAATTTTTGTGAAACACTCTGGAGAACACAGTCTTTTAATGGGAAGAATGGAAACCCTCTGAATGTGGCCAGTTATTTGTTATGGTTATGAAAAACACATGCTTGCAAGCCCCTGGGTCTTTTTGGATACAGACAAGATTTGCTGAATGATTATAATCAAGAAATGGCTCATTCCCTGTCAGAGTTTCCATGACTACATTTTCTTACTGTATCTTTAGTTCTAAGATTTACTGAAACTATACAGAGCCCTTAAAACAGTTGATGAACTATCATTGCAATAACATTAAATGGATGATATATGAAAAATGAGTTTTCCTTCAAAGAGAAAATAAATGTAAGAAATTATTTTAGGCTATTGAAAACTTTAGGATTAGAAGTACTCACATTTTCTTTTCTATGGAAACATTAATATTTGCACTCATTTGTAAGTCAGCTTAATATAATCATTTCGGTGTCTTCACAAACTTTATTATTAAGCATTTGTTATTGCTTATGATGATTTATTCTCTCTCTCTCTCTCTCTCTCTCTCTCTCTCTCTCGGCAGTGCTGGGCATTGAACCCAGGGCCTTGCACATGCTAGGCAACTGCTGTTTCAGAGTTATATCCTTGGTTTGGGGATTTAGTAATTTGAAGAATCCCAGGGATAAAGAGATTTTATTATCTGTGAACACATTTATTCATTAGTTTTATATAAGAAGAACTGTGATATGAGTTTGTTCAAACTAAATTAGAAAAATAATCTTAACATAATCATTCTGGTGATGTGTATTTACAAATAAACAAAGGATTAAGTGTAGTTGTCTTAATGGAGAAGGAGCAGACATTGGTGACTTCCTTTTAATACTTTCAGTTAAAATGTGAACTTGAATGCTTAAAAGCTGCAAACTAGGGCTGGGGATATGGCTCAGTTGGTAGAGTGCTTGCCTCTCATGCACAAGGGCCTGGGTTCAATCCCCAGCACGTGAGGGGGAAAAAAAAAAAAAAGCTGCAAGCTTAATGCTCATCCCATTGCGAACAAAGAAACAGAAGCCTCAGAGCTTCCCAACAGGGTGGATCCTCATGATCAGAATTGTTCAATTTCTCATAACTTTAGATTCAATTGTTGGATATTTACATATCTGTTTTAGTCAGCTTTTTTGTTGCTGTGACTAAAGGACCTGACCAGAACAATTGTAGGGGAGGAAGGGTTTATTTGGAGGCTTGTGGTTTCAGAGATCGTAGCCCATAGAAGGCCGGCTCCATTCCTTGGGGCTGCAGGTGAGGCTGAACATCATGGCAGGAAAGTGTGGCCGAGGGAAGCAGCTCACACCATGATCAGAAAGCAGAGAGAGAAGAAAATTCCACTCTCCAGATACAAAATATATACCCCCTAGCCACGCCCCCAATGAACCTCCTCCTCCAGCCACACCCCACCGCTTCCATTACCACTCAGTTAATCCCTATCAAGGGATCAATTCACCAATTGGGTTAAGACTCTTACGACATAATCATTTCTCCGCTGAACCTTCTCGCATTGTCTCACAGGTGAGCTTTTGGAGGACACCTCACATTTAAACCATGTCTAGATCCTTGAACATTATGAAGAAACAACCCTGGCATGGCCCTTGCTAAGCCATGGCAATATGAATTGTCTTGTGCCACCTTGGGAATTTAACCCTTTTCTTCAGGCCTTTATTTTTGGTACTGGAGATTGAACTTGGGGGCTTCAACACTGAGCAACACCCCTAGTCCCTTTTTTTATATTTTACTTAGAGACAGGGTCTCTCTGAGTTGCTGAGGCTGGCTTTGAACTTGTGATCCTCCTGCCTCAGCCTCTGAGCTGCTGGGAGGTACAGTGCACCACGGCTCCTGCTTCAAGGCTAATTTTTGATGTCATAAGAAAATCTGAACAGCTGCCTCAGCACCCAAAATGACAACAAGGATTCAGGGTCACCTGCCTGAGATCAGCATGTCCACCCACTGTCTGTGGAGCTGCTTCGGGAACTGTGCACAATTGCTACACTCTGACCATGGCTGTCTGTCTCTGCTCTTTTATGAACAATATTAAGGCCTCGTTCCATTCAAGACTCTGGTGCCTGCCGTATGGGTTCGCTGAGGCAGGACCTCAAAGAGTCAGAATCTGGCTGGTTGGCCCCAAGAAGGCCATTAGGGTTGTCAGAGTGGAGCTGAGCTTCTCCATGGTTCATGGAGGACCAGTGGCCCTTTGGGGTGGGGAAATTAGGCACACAGATCAACAGAGCCCAGCTAGGAAGAAAAGGCATCTTGGGAATTGAACTCCTCTGTCAACAGCTAATTTTTACTTACTACTGGGAAAATCAGAACAGCTGCATCAGCACATTAAATGACATCAAGGGTGCCGGAGTGCAGGCTTAAAATGCAAATGTCAGTGAAATGTGAGCATTTCACCAGAGTGGCCAGCCAAGTCTCAGAGGAGTCTCCAGTGCCCTAGCAGGGAGTAAATGGCATCAGGAAAAGTGGCAGATGTGTGGAAAAAAAGCAGCATGTGACTCGGAAGACCAAAGCCTCTGCAGGCTCGCAGTGCAGCTGTGTGGCTTCAGAAGTCACTAATGCCCTCTGCCTCTCAGAGCTTTGCCTGTAAATGAAGACCAGATCATCTCTAAGTTCTTGGCGGAAATGATAGTTTTTTTTTATAAAGCTATATTTAAAAAAAATGGTGACTTAACATTTCATTATATAGCTTGTCCTGTGCATGACTCATGACCATATTGCAATTAATTGTAATTAAAATAATTGTTAGGGAGGTTTGATTACTAAGAAGGGAATGGAAAGAGGAAAGGAGTGTTGTGAGAGGAAGAAAAAGAGGACGAGTTGTGGAGCCACACCTGGGAAGAGCTCACTGTCTCTACTCCAGGAAGAAAGTGCTCTGGATAGAGGCCTCCTCAGAGCAGAGTTGATTTTAGTTGAAACTTGGTGAAACTGACGTTCTCCTTTCTGAACTCTTGTATATTCCATGTGAGGACAGTGCATCTATGGCTCCAAGTTGTGAAATGCATATAGATTTTGTGGTTTGCACGTGAGTTTGTGCTGCATTGTATTGTTAATGACTTAAAAGCACTTCCTTAGTAGGAGTGGATTTAGGGAGGGGCTGGAGAGCTAGGGAGGCATTGTTCTTCCTAGAAGACTGCAGAGGGACATCTCCAAGGCTGTGTGTGCTGTTGGGTCACCTTTGGTACGCTGCCTATTCTAACCAAGCACTTGTATGGTAGATTGAGAGACCACTTACTTCTTCTTTATTACTGGATTCTCTCGTAGGATCCATTCCTCAGGACCTCAGCTGCTTGTGGCCTGCGAGTCTACACAATGAAAAGCAAGGGGTATTTTGAGCAGGAATGAAGAGAGAGTTTTGCCCCAATACTTTATTATTTCAAACTTATAGTAAACTTGAAAGAATTTTTATTCAACACCCATATATCTACTACCCAGTTGTTGCATTAATATTTTACTGTACTTGATTGAACATGGATTTATCCATTAATCAACGTGTATATCAGTTAGAATTCAATATTTGTAGTTTCTCCATAACTATAGAGTATTTAACTCTATAACTTTTATATAAAAATATATGTAAACAATACAGAAATCTTAAGTGTCCATTTATTGAGTTATGATAATTATATATGCCTTGTTCCTATTAAGTGAAGTGATAGAATATCATCATTATCTCAGAAAAAAAACTTTTTTTGTCCCTTTTCAGTTAATCCTTGAATCAGTGTTCTTTCTATCATAGATTAGTTTTGTCTGCTGGAGAGCTTCATATGATTGGAACTACACAAAATGTACTTTTTTTTTTTTTTGTAAAGCTGCTTTAACATGGTATAATGTTTTTTGAGATTTTTCTGTGTTCTTGTGCATGTGAGTAATTTGGTTCTTTTTATTGCTAAGTGGTTTTTGATTGTATAAGTATACCACAATGTGTTTATCCATTCTCTTGTTGATACACATCTGGGTCCTTTTCAACTTGGAATTATGAGTAAAGCCGTCGTGAACATTCTTGTAGGAGTCTTTTGTTAACATGTTTTCATTCTCTCTGGTAAATATCTGGGAGTGGAATTGCTGGGTCACAGGATGAGTAGTTATTTTGGTTTTCAAGAAACTGTCATACCTTTTTCCAAACTGATGACCCAGTTTTAGGTTTCCTCCAGAACAAGAGAGTCTCATTAGCTCCATAGCATGAACAACATTCTGAGTTATCCATTTTATTAATTTTAGTCATTCTGGTGGATATGGAAGTATCTTATTATGTTTTGTATCTGCATGAAGATAGACTTTTAATTAATTAAAATTTGAGTCTATGAGAAGAAGAGCCCTAAAGGAGGTTGAATTATAGATATGAGGAGCCCACTGGATAGATGAAGAAGAAGCTAATATCAGCAGATAACATGTTTAAATTTTACTGAGTTGAGATTAGGAGGAGGAAGCCAAGAAATAGAAATATCAGGAACAGCTAATATAAAGGAAATATATATTTAAAATAAATAAAATCTTAGACAAAAGTAAAAGAGAATGATTTGGACTGTACATGCTGTAGAAATCTATATGTAGCCTGGGTTAAAAGGGATTAAGAAATTTAGATAAACAGAAATGAGCTATCACTACCATGTTACTTATCTGTTAGTATGTATAATTTTACTTTACGGCTATACCTACCCTTTAAATTTATGGAAGCATCTTATTTTGCAGCTAAATTTTTTTTCAACAAGTTTTAAGGTAAATATTCTTGGAGAAATGTTCAGCCGCGTACATTAGTCATCAAGTATAGAAAACACAGATTAATACCTTTTGTGTCCAAAATATGTTGTTTCTTCTATAAAGTAATATTTAAAGAACTTCCAAAACAGATGGATATTTTAATTTTGTGTTTTATTTGTTTTTCCTGAGCTTTAATATTTTTTGTTGGTTCTTTTTAGTTATACATGAGAGTAGAGTCCATTTTTATATAATTATATGTACATGAAGTATATCTTATTCTAATTAGGGGCCCAGTCTTGTGGATATACATCATGGTGTTGAGATTCACTATGGTGGATCATATAAGTACATGGGAAAGTTATGTCAGGTTCTTTCCACTGTCTTTCCTCTTCCTATCCCCACTCCCTCCGTTCACTGAGCTTTAATAATTTAGGATAATCTATCTCATCACTGTGACCTCTGCAAACTGAGTTTTCATTTTAAGTAGCAAAATATTAAGTTAAGTAATCATTGTATTGACTTCTTTTGTATCCATTTATAATGTTCTTTTATAAAGTTTACTTTTTATAATGTCCTGTGAGAGTCATACCTGTCCCCAAAATTTAATCTTAGAGTTTCATAATTTTGATAGAGATAGTACAAGTAACTACTTAAAAAAAATGAAGTGTTTCTCTGTTTCTCTTTTAGGTCCTACATCAGAGATCATCCAGCAAGATTTTTTTCAAGAAGCAAAAACTCTCATTGCTGAACATTATCAAAGAATAAATGAGGTTAGTGCTTTGTATTTATCTATCATTGATTTTTAGGAAACTATTTTTGTATACTACAATGGGTTATTCCAAGAATTGCATGAACCCTAATATGTGATAGGTTCAGAATAGAAGAGAAAATAAAACTGTCAGTAGCTATGAAAGTCGATTTCAGATGGCATTTAAAAATAGGATTTTTCAGTCATACAAGTTTTTAATTATATACACGTGTATTGAGTTTGCACATTTAATACAATTTTGGATGTTTTCTTTTGGTGAATTATAACAGGATTATTTGAATTTGTTATCTCAAGTAAACACTTCTCTAAACACTGTGTAGATGAAGATAAAGTGAGAAACCGGGAGATGCATCTTACTTTGTGTTTGCGCATAGCAAGACATGCTTACCTGTGTCTTCATCCAGGTCACTTTGCATTAGAATAGTCTGCTTGCCACTCTGATAGCATCTCCAGCAACAAGCATTATGCCTGGCTCAATAAATATTTGCTGAATGGCATAGATCTGGAAGATGAGAAGAGGCAGGGAAAGGGAGAGCCAAGAGAAGAGGAAGGCCAGCATGGGATGACATTTTGGAGAAAAGCATCCACAGACCACTAGGGAAATTTGGAGAAAGGGTAGCTGTTGTGACAATTGGACCTTTGAGAGGCAGATGGGGGAAGGGGATCTTAGAATGGTGTACTATATGCTTTTTTTCTGGTTTGAATACTTAAAAAAATTTTTACAGAATTTTAAATGAATATATTAAATGTTTTATAATGCTTATTTTGGTAAGAAGGAGGGCTGTAATTTTTACTTATGTTTCTTTTGGATGGTTCTCTATGCTGACACGGGCCATAGGTGGTTTTAATCTTATAATCAACATTGTTATTAACATCACTTATCAATTTTTTCCTTTAACACATTTAAAATAATTTTTAATTGTATTGGTTTTGCTGGGAGGAGCATGTGATGAAAGCTTGATAGTGTTCTTTTCGACACACCTGCCTTTGGAAACATGACCTGTGTTAGGAATCTTATCTGACTGTAAAAGCATAAGGTTGCCTGGCCAGACAATGCCAGCGTACTGTAGTAGCCTTTTTGTTGGCATCTCGAGTTGGAAATGATTTGAAATGGCAATGATTTGACCTCTTCCAAGGTTGGGAGCAGAGAGCTATTGCTGTATCCTTAGACCAATTATAATTATTCAGGTAATTATCCATCAAAGGCCTGGAGCTATATTAGTTTCTTTATTCAAGTTGGTCAAAATGAACATAGAATCAGGTGAATAAAAGACTCTGAAATACATATCCTATTATCAGTATGGTTTTCTTGACAGCCTACTTTCACAGCTGTTCAATTATTTCCAGTTTAGAAGAAAAAGAGATTTGGGGATTGTTGGGAGTCACCCCGGCCCCAAAGACTAATTTTCCCATCCCCCGAGAAGAGCCTCCAATGGTGAGCCCTGCTGGCTCACATGATCCTGACCCACCAATCAGACTAGCCCTGCTGGCTCACATGATCCTTACCCACCAATCAGACTAGCCCTGCTGGCTCACATGATC